CAAAAGAAGTTGTAACATTTTGCATTCCTACCAGTAACCTGAGCTTACTGTTAACACTTGGTACTGTCAGCTTTAAAAATTTTATTCATTCTGATAGGTATGTAATGATATTCATTGTAGTTTTAATTTTCCATTTTCTTAATGACTAATGAAGTTGAGTATCTTTTAATGAGCATAGAGATAATCCATTGAAGACACTTATTTGGTGAAATCTCTGCTTAAATCTTCTACATATAAAAATCAGGTTGTTTCACTATTGTGTTTTGAGGGGGTTAAAAATATTCCAGATACAAAACATAAACAATATGTTTTGCAAGCATTTTCTCTAAGTCTGTGACTTGCCTTTTTCTCTTTTTTCTTCTTTTTTTTTTTTTCTTTTTTGAGACAGAGTCTTGCCCTGTCACTGGGCTGGAGTGCAGTGGCTCAGTCTGGGCTCACTGCAACCTCTGCCTCTCGGATTCAAGCAATTCTCCTGCCTCAGCCTCCTGAATAGCTGGGACTACAGGCATGCGCTACCACACCCGCCTAATTTTTATATTTTTAGTAGAAGCAGGATTTCATTATGTTTGCCAGGATGGTCTTGATCTCTTGACTTTGTGATCTTCCCGCCTCGGCCTCCCAAAGTGCTGGGATTACAGGCATGAGACAATTACAGACAATAAAAACCACGCCCAGCTGTGTTTTTATTGTCTTAACAGTGTTTTGTGAAGAGCCAAAGTTTTGACAAAGTCAAATTTATCGAAGCTTATTATCAAACTGGTCTTTAAAAATAAAAAAAAATATTTTTGATACCCTGTTCCTTCACCTCTCCAGTGAGATAACTGATGTACATGTCTACACTGTTCCCCAGGGATCCCCAGCAGGGTCATACTTTTTGTGTTGTATTTAAGAAGTCTTTTTCTAATTCAAGGTCACAAAGATTTTCTCCTATGTTTTCTTCTAGAAATTTTAAATTCTGGGTTTTGCCTTTAGAGTATTATCCATTTTGAGTTAATTTTTTGTAATGGTGTGAAGTATGAATTGAGGCTTAATTTTTTTGTATGTGGTTGCATGTGGCTCAGTGTTTTTTTTTTTTTTGTAATTATTTCAGCATCATTTGTTGAAAAGTTTCTCCACTGAATTACTTTTGCAATCTGGCCAAAAATCAGTTGATTATATATTTATGGGTTTATTTCTAGACTTCTTATTTTTTTCTATTAATTTATATATCTTTCTTTTCACCAAAGCCATACTTTATCATTATAGCTTAGTAGTAAGTATTGAAATCAGTTAGTGTGAATTCTCCAATATTGTTCTTCATTTTAAAAAGTTTTTCTGGTTATGTGAGTTTTTTAACTTTTCCATATAAATTTTCAGTGTGTCAGGTTCTACAGTATATTATGGTAGGAATTTTTTTTTTTTTCAGCTGGAGTCTCCCTCTGTTGCGAGGCTGGAGTGCAGTGGCCCCATCTTGGCTCACTGTCTCCGCCTCCCAGGTTCAAGCAATTTTCCTGCTTAAGCCTCCTAAGTAGCTGGGACTACAGGTGCATGCCACTACACCCACCTAATTTTTGTATTTTTAGTAGAGATGGGGTTTTGCCATGTTGGCCAGAATGATCTCAATCTCCTGACCTCGTGATCTGCCCACCTTGGCCTCCCAAAGTTCTAGGATTACAGGTGTGAGCCACCATGCCCAGCCTATGATAGGATTTTGAAAGGAATTGTGTTGAGATTATAGATCAACTTGGGGAGAACTGTAACAATACTGAGTCTTACAATTCATGAACATGGTCTATCTTTCTTTTTATTTAGGCCTTTTTTTTGTTTGTTTTGTAGTTTCTAGTACACAGATCTTGCACATATTTTGTTTGGTTTGTACCTAAGATTTTATGCTTTTTGGTGATATCAAATATAGCATTGTTTTTCAATTTTAATTTCTAATTGTTTGTTGCTAGTATATAAAAATATAACTGAATTTTGGGTATTGATCATATAACCTGTGATTTTGCTAAACTTACCTATTGTAGATTTTTTTGTGGTAGACTCTAGGGTTTTCTATATTGTAAATAATGTTATCTTTGATTAGAGACAGTTTGACACATATTTTTTCAATCTGTATGCCTTTTTTGTATATGTTTTGAATGGCTATTTTATTTAAAACATTTAATTTTTAGAGAAATATTTTAACAAGATTAAATTCTTGCCAAATTGGCTTTCTAGAGTATTACAAAGGATTAGAGCCCAAAGGTCCATGCCTAATAGCACAGGGTGCTTGGGTTTGGTTGTTAGTTCATTCCTATGCCTTCTTCATATCCTCATTTCAAGATATGGCTCAACTTTCCTCATGGCCTATTGACTGATGTACTGTATTATCAAAATAGAGAATGGACATGAGCCTTCTTTGGATATAAAGAATCACAGAGGTCCTAAATACTGTTAGAATTACTATGGTGGTAATTGTTCAAAATTGCCAGGTACTGATGTCATCTTAATGGTTACGAGATATGGTTACCAAAGCTCTAGGGATTGGATTTACAAGGTGGTTTCAGTTCCAGGTCACACTTGGGGATAATCACAATCTTGGAGGGAGTTAACATTTTGCAGAACAGTCATGTGGTAGTTGTGCTTGTGTGGGCCAAAGACTTATGACACTTTCTTCTCAAACCCTACATGACCCTGCATTATCTGTTTCCTCTATTCAGCTATGTGGGCAGTCTTTATAATTTTAACCTTTCAAGCTGTGCTATAATATAATGACTAGAGCATTTTATATAGGACATGACTTTTGTGTACTAGTGACCTATGACTATTTTCCTATTTGGGGTTTGTCAGGGTGAATGATGTGGGGTATTTTGTGGAAACCGTCTAAAGAGTCATCATTATTGTCAGTGGTAAGGGGTCTTGGCATAGCCTTCTGACTTGAGAGCCTTCACACTTCTTGCTGAGCAGATGGTCGCTCTTTCTGTGAGCTCCCTTGATACTTCCACTGCTATAATTTGGACATTTTTGCCGATCAGTTCACTTACTTGTCCATCTTTCTTGCTGGATGGAGTGTGCATGAATCAGGATCAGGGAATCTTACACTCATCCCCCCAGGGCCTGACTCAGGGCTTGGCTGATGTTATTGACTGAATGAGCTCTGTAAATACACTTGCAGTCAGTCTGGCACAGTGGGAAGGGCAGGGATTCTGGCATCATTCCAACAATTGGAAATTAAAGTGAAAAAAAGGCATGAATTGAAAAGGTTTGAGTCTGAGCTCTGCTGCCTGTGGATTTCCTTTGTCTGAATTACTTATTCTAAGTCACAATTTTCCCATTTGTAAAATGAGGATATTATCTACTTCATTAGTTCATCATATTATAGTACTAGGTAAGTGAATGTTATTGGAACAGTTATTTAATGGGTACATCGTGTCATTTAACCCTAACTACTAGCATATTATTTCCAACTCAGTTGCCTCTCCTGGTTGATTTCAGGGGCTGTTGCTATATAAACTAGTTATCCGTATTACCATCAATGTGGCTGCCATTGCTAGTAAAGTACCAGTTAGGTAATTCGATGCTCATATTATCTGGGATGCCACAGTGGCCGATTGCAGTGATATTTGCAGAGGGTGATGCCTGGGGTCTGTGGGCTTCCATGCTAGTCTCAGCATTTGGGTTTTATATCCAGCAGTATCTATGGGTAGTTTGAAAATACACAGGCTGCCACATGTCTGGAGGTCATACAGCAATCCAGAAAGTGTAAAGAGAGTCCTTCCTCAAATCTCAAGGATTGTGTTCCAACCTTCCAGGCTACAATTCACTCTACAAATTTTAATAACATATTTCTGCAATTACTTTTTCTGGCATCCTCAATCCAGTTTGAAGGGCATCAGCATTGCTAGCTTGATATATAATTTGGGATTTTAAAAATGCTATTGCTAATACCTGAATATGAATTTTATTTCTAATATGAAAAACTTCCCGAATTACAAAAAAGCTGTGATCCTCATAAGTTTTGGTTCTAGAATAAAATGAAGTGACACTCGTAATCCATGCATTTTGGTTTTTGTATGTTTGTTTTTTAAACTAAGAACTTTGATGATGCACTGAAACTATTCAACATAGCCTCATTTCAAAGGCAGCCACATAGAGTTCTGCTGTCTGAATAAATTAAAGCTGATATCACACAACATTTCCGTTGGGTAAGCTTGCCGGCAGTGCTTGTCTGGGCCATATGTTTGTAATGTCTTTATTGGATGTTGTTTATTTCCTTCTTGAACACGATTTATTCCCCCATCAAAACAGGAACATGTCAATACGTTCACAATTTTATAAGTGCATGTACTCTATGTGTATATGTATGTACATTCACATTTTTTATGTCTGTAAGTAGTGAAACTTTTTTTTCCAGGAGTAGGTGTACTTTAATTTCCTTTGTGTTTTTCCTTTTTTTCTGAGACGGAGTCTCCCACTGTTGCCCAATGGCGCAATCTCAGCTCTACAACCTCTGCCTCTTAGGTTTAAGCGATTCTCCTGCCCCAGCCTCCTGAGTAGCTGAGATTACAGGCACCCACTACCAGACCCAGCTAATTTTTTGTATTTTTAGTAGAGACAGGGTTTCACTATGTTGGCCAGGCTGGTCTTGAACTCCTAACCTTGTGATCCGCCTGCCTCGGCCTCCCAAAGTGCTGGGATTACAGGCGTGAGCCACTACACCTGGCCTCCTTTGTGTTTTTCTGTGTTTCAAAATTATCTACAATGATTAACCAGAAAATTAATATTATAATAATAATTATACATAAAATAGAACTTTTAAAGAGAATCTCTTTTCTAGGCTTGGGCCAGGAAAAAATATCGTATTTTTTTGGCCAGATACTACCAGAATTAAGAAATTAAAGAGAGGGATTTTGCAGAATAACCTCAAAGCTAGTCTCAAAAGTCACAATTATATTAACTGAGCTCAGAGAGAGAGAGAGAGACAGAGTATATATCACCTACCAATGTAATGTATTTTTCTTTTTCTGTTTATAAACCAGATTGAAAAGAAGGATTAGGCCAACCCCAAAGAAGAAGTGACCAAGGAGGAGTTTAAAGTGAATGAATGGCCTGGGCTCCTGGACTCATTGCTTCACAACCCATCTACCCTTGGACGAGTTAATCTGGCTTCAAGTATTATGCAAGGGCAAACACCTGCTGATGCAGCAACTGCTGATGCTCATGGTCCTGCATGGCATGGGGGCCTCAGAGCAGCCTGCCTGGAGGTGAGCAGGGGTATCTCTCTGTCTTATACTCCAGTCAGGGGGTTCCAGCCACACCTGCAGGCTCCAGAGCTCAATGCACAGATCTTCTTGTTTCACCTGCAGTCTTTTCTTCCCCAGGGTGTGCACAGGGCTCCAGGGTCTTTCATGACTCAGGGTCAGAGTGGCTCACGTACCAGTCCACATGTTGTCCTCCAGATAGTCCCTTCCATCCCTTGCATCCTGTTGCTCAGCCTGACTTTTAATTTTTAACTTTCTCCTTTGTAATTAATCTCTATCTGGGTTTCTCTCTTCCTCTGTGCCATTTGGTTTCCTTAATTAGTTCCCTGTGCCAGTCCATAGTCAGAGCCATAATTGGCTCTGGGGAAGATCCAAGTTATTTTCTGAGTAAGATATTAGGCTGCCATATGATCCAGAGATGCAAAGAAATCCCCAGAGAGTGTAGGAGTTGTCTAAATCCATGTGTCAGATGTAGCCAGCGAGTTGTGTCAGAAGCAGAGAGAAAAGGCATGAAAAGCAATCCTGTTCCGCTCCTCAGGCCCCTGTCTCTGTCCTTACATGGGGCTTTTGAACATCTCCTCCTGGCCCAGCTAGGGTGAGAGCAAGTCCTCTAAGGCACTGCCTTTGAGCCTTGTTCAGCCCATCTGAACGATCCCTGTTCTAGAATTGACTGCTTTTAAATTGTGTGACCTTGGGAATGTTATCTGGCTTCAACCACAATGCCCTACCTTAAGTCCCTCTCCCAAGTGATCCTAGATACAGGGCTGCTTCCCCCCAAACCCTCTCCACCTCAGGACACAGGCTCATGGCCTTATGACACTTTACAACCAGAAGTGGTGCTCAGAGTTCCTATTGACACATGTAACCCCCTAATTCCTGGGAAAGCCCGTGGCCTGCTTCCCCAGTGCTTTCTCTGGCTGGTCCCTCCATATTTTCATCTGATGGTGGAGTGAGATCAGGAAAAATAGGAGAGGAGCTTTACCTTGGGGGAGAAGAGAAGTATGGAAAGGATGAGTTATAGGAGGTTAAGCAGTCTAAGATTCCTCTCCCTATGTAGGAGGCCATTTCCTCCTGTGAGGGGGTTTGAACCAAATTATAATGGGACAGGGTTGGGTATTGACTTCCCATATCTTCTCGCTGTTTTGTTCCCACTATCTGTAGCCCAAAAATCTTGGGGAGGACTTTGATCTTTAGTGTGGGCTCTTGGTCAGGGCCATAGGAACTAACCCCAATCCTTATTCTACCTGGCTCTACCACATCCCCTACACACAAACACATGCTGCGGGGAGGGAGTTTGCCCCTGGGTTAAGTGGACGATCCTTAGATCACCTTGTGCTCCTGTGGACTTGGGTATGTGTGTGTTGGGAAACTTGGCTTTGAAAGGATGTCTTTGGGCTCTCATTTTCTCTCCCAGGCACAAATACGGGGTGGCGGGGTGGGGGGGCTTCTCCAAGTCCCACGTCAGCTGCTGCCCCCTGAGGAGCTTGACCACTGAAGCCGATCGTGAGATGACTGTACGCTGACACACCTTCAGGGACCTGGCCTTGACTTAGGGCTCCGCTGTATCCTCAGCAATCTTGGATTGCCTTTCCTATTCAGCCTAGCGTTGGGGTGGTGGGAGAAGAGGGGTTGGAGTGAATCCATCTCTGTTCAAATTCCAGCTGGGATTACTCGAGGAGTCTTCCTGGCTTATTTTGGGCCCAAATTTGGCTGCATTGTTTATTGGCTCCCAAAGTAGGGGTTGAGGAGTGAAAAGATACAGGCAATGAATTCTTCCGCACACTCCTCCCCAACCTCTCCAACGCTTTTCTACTTAGGAGGCCAGTGGAAGGGAGGAGAGGAGGCCTTGCCCTAGCCCACAGGGGACAAGGCTCATTGTTCTTCCAGGCTTGGTCCACTCTGCTTTTGATTCTGAAGTTCTTCCCCTACCCAGCAGACTACGCTTTCTTGCCTTCTTTCTGTTCTTTCTTTTTGTACATGTAGATGGTATGTTGCTGATATATTCTCAGTGCCTGTGCCCACCTTGGAACTCTGTTCTTGCTGTTCATTCCGCATGTGATACTCTGGGCCAAGATCTTTGCACAGGTGCCTCAAGTATCATCTCAGAGGTGCTTCTCTTGAAAACTCGGTGCTATTTCTGTAGTTGCTTTATTTGATCACTCTAAGTTTTGTTGTCTTCATAGTGCTTATCACCCTCTGGAACTATTCTATTCATTTATTTACTTGTTTAATGCTTGGCCTTTTTCCTGTTCTAATGTAAACTCTGTGATTGTCAACACCTGTTTACTTGCTACAACACCCCCGTGGCCTCCCATCCCCTCATTCCTGGCACTAGTAAGAACTCAATAAACACTTGTTGATGGAATGAATGTTTGTTTGTTGTTTTTTATAGGAATGTTTTTTTCAAAAGTTCAGATATTTTTAAGAAGTCAAAGGTGTCTATTTAGCAACAGGGAACTGTTGATGACTGTGTAGGACACTCTCTGTATGACGTAAATGGGAGGCGAGGAACAGGAATTTGCAATTGTAGATGCAACTTTCTCCACTAGGCTTGACTTCGAAGGAAGGCAGAGGGGTAGGGCAAGGGCTGGAGTGTTGCATTTACCGAGAAGGCACTTGAGCACGGGGAAGTGCTGCTGGGAGGGCGGCGGTGCAGTGGGTGTGTGAAGAAGGAGGAGTGGATCACTGATGGAGCCAGCAGTGGAGGTGTTGAGGGGACCACATCGGGGTCAGTGAGGATCAGGCATGGGGCAGGGGTGCCTTTTCACTGGAAGAGAGGAAAGGAGAAAAGGAGAGTGTGGGTTCTGGTGGATTTGCAGACTTAGTAGCAGGACATTGAGGCAGTTTCTGCCTGTGGTTTTGATTTCCTCTGCAAAGTAGGAGATGAGGTGGCCTGATGGGGTGCTGGTGTTGGGGTCAGAGGCATGAGGATGGGGGAGAGGGTTTTAAAGACATCATTTCAACTCATGTCTTTGAAATCGTCTATGTAATTCTTTCTCCAGATGAATTTTTATTTTTATTTATTACAAATTCAAGATAACATTTTGCCACTACATTTTTGCCCATAATCTTATATTTAGATCTAAATCCTAGATCTAAGCTTGAGGCTCATATGGTTTCAGGTGGAAGAAATAGGGGTTGGAGAAAGAAATGCAGAGTCTAATCTTCCCAGTGAATAAAAGTTCATGAGGAAACTTTGATGAGGGGAAGCTATAAAAATTCCACCAGATTACAGGGAGATGGAGCTGTGCACTGAGACAGTAATTTGCTCCCTGTCCATCTAGGCTGCTGTTCTTACACCAAAGAGTGAGTTATAAAAGGTTAAGCAGTCCAATATTTCTCTCCCTGTGTAGGAAACCATTTTCTGATGTGAGGTGGGTTTGAACCCAATTATAATGGAGTTAAATTTGGGGCTGGAAGGGCCCTGGCGGGGGAAGGAGGCTTCCTGCCTGACTCCACTGCACATGTCTCTGTCCCGTTAATACCACCATTGCCAGGTACTTACTATTTCTGGTTGAGTAAAATGAATTGTCCTCAGTGGACAAAGATGATACTGTTGACACAAGAGTAGGGTGTGCAGTTGTTACTTGGAGAGAATTTGCATCCTCTTTTTATTGTAGTACAGGTACACACTTGCAGGAATGCTTGGGTAAGGGGAGTGATAAAAACTTCTTATTGAGCATCAACTATGCATTCACCTTATACCACAGGGTACTTTGTGTTTGTAAACGGGAAACAGGAGAAGTTGTCATGACACCCATGGCCACTGGAACCATGACCTTTACCTTACTACCACCGTGTGGCAACCCAGAAGTTCCTAAACAGAGAATGGTTTAGAGTACCCAGGGGTACTTGGAGATACCACTGTATGAGATAAGAGGAAAGTGGAGCCAGCAGGACTCCAGGCCACACCTTCACATCAACAAAAGTAGTGTTTAGTGTCTGTGTTGACTTCTAACTTTATGTAGATAAAGGATTCCACTGGAGCAAAAGAGTCTGACTGCATTTTCACAAATAGAACAAATATTGATAGAATCCTTACGTTAAACAAATTTCTAAATGGTTTACTGAATTAAAGAGTGCACTCTGACATTGCAGGTTTCAGTTTAGTTGGCTGGTATTTCAGAGACTATTCATTTCCTCTGAGGCAACAATTTACCTATCACCAAGTTCAGTGCTTTGACTTTGATCAACTGACTGGGTTTATCCAAAGTGCAGATGAGCAAAAGAACACCGATTAGAAAACAGTCCTGATAATTAGTCCTGTCATTTTTAGTTTTACACAAATTTATATAAAAGCATTATATTTTACAAGGCACTAAAATCCATTTCTGTTGCATAAGCTTCATTGACATATAAATGACATTGGTAAACACAAAATAGGTTTGAGGAGAGTGGAGAAAATAGGAATCTACAGCTTAAGTCGTGGTCTTACTTCATAGCAAATCTGTTACCTATCAGATTTCCATCATTTGGTGCAAAAAGATCTCTTAATAAAACTAAGTTCTGGCCGGGCGCGGTGGCTCAAGCCTGTAATTCCAGCACTTTGGGAGGCCGAGGCGGGTGGATCATGAGGTCAAGAGATCGAGACCATCCTGGTCAACATGGTGAAACCCCGTCTCTACTAAAAACACAAAAAAATTAGCTGGGCGTGGTGGCATGTGCCTGTAATCCCAGCTACTCAGGAGGCTGAGACGGGAGAATTGCCTGAACCCAGGAGGAGGAGGTTGCGGTGAGCCGAGATCGCGCCATTGCACTCCAGCCTGGGTAACAAGAGCAAAACTCCGTCTAAAAAAAAAAAAAACAAAAAAACTAAGTTCTAAGAAAGTATTAAGTCTGATTACCAACATTCATATTGGATTTTGAAGCATATGAGCTCTCTTAAGAGTCAATTCATAATCTGAGGCTGGAGATCTGTGGGACTCAGTAGTGGTATCTGGAGAGGCTGGTGGGTCCCTCTCTAGAACCCAAAAGGTGTAAGGATTTTGTAGAGGGAAAGGTAAATAATGCCAAGTAGCTGGGGTCTAGGAAGAACGTTTTCTCTTGGGGCAAGAGGGTGTAAGTTCCTAAAGTTCCTTCAGCAGGGATGTTGGTCCTTTAGTTAGGAGGTTTAAAATCACCAGGAAGAAAGGGTGAGGAGAAACGTCTGGGCCCATGTTTGAGAAGATGGCTGATGGTGGTGGAAGTCCTTTCTTTGATGAGTTAATGATGCAGATTTCTGATAAAGATAGGAAGTTATTTACATCAGCATTAACTAAATCTACCCTTCATGCCGAAAGGAAGCGCTCTTGGGCCATTCTCTATTAATGAAACCATACCAGGGTCAATATTAGAGTGTCTCTGAAATACACTGAAAATACTTCCCTGGCTCAGGTAGTGGCCAATGCTACCTCCAGGCAGTTTTCCTTGATTAATGATGCAATGGAGGTCTCCTATTGCATCCACCATCAATGAGAGTTGGGCAGTCTGTCATTCAGAGGAAGTGGGACTCAATAGACATTCTGACTATTAATTCAGTCATGTTTACATGCAGATCAGAGGGTAAAGTTTTTCTTTACACCCTATATGTCCTTCTCTTCCTAGGTGAAAGTCCATTCACAACCAATTCAGTGCTAGCAGATCTTTTCCTAACAAGAACAGGTGGAGGGCATAGTGGGGATTAGAGCACCTCAGCACTCACAGGGGCATCCTATGAGAGCCAGGCTGGCTTCTAGGACATCTTATTGATGGAAGTTATTCAGTGGATCTTCCTGGATTTGATTTTATTTTTCTGATCTCTTGAGAACATCAGTCTTTGGGTTTATTACCTGTAATTTTTGTCTTAGGAAGGCAGCATCCTTCTTTCCAGGAAGAAATCTTGATGTATGAAAAAGAAAAAACCTGGTATCCTGCCCTGTTTTTGTTCTCATGGAGATTCAGCAGATTTTTACATAATCTGTTTTTGCTATAATTCACCCTCCACTTCTTGAATTCTTTGTGAACATCCCTTTCTCCTGTGAGCTGACAGCTTCTGTTCTTTTTTTTGGAGCTTATGAGCTTTTTGAGTTAGATCCTTTAGCAAAGCCCTAGTTTTCTGCCGATGGAGATCATTAAGGATCTCTACCGCCAGCTGCAAGATTTTGCATTTATTTTCAACTAGAGCATCGACTGGCTGCAGTAAAACAAATTTTTCCAAGTTTAAAATTTTTTTCTTCCAGCTGATGCCTTGCTGGCAATTATTTGACTTAGACTATAAATGGCATCTTTTTTTTCCTTTTTTTCCAGTTGTTGTTAATGTGGATTTTGGCATTGTCTGATGACCCTAAATTTTCATCATCTTACCATGGTAATCTCCCAGTTAACCCTTTATTTTCGAATCATCTAGTTTATTTCCTTTTCTGTGAGTTTCTCCTCTGACTCAAAGATCAAGATCACGTGGTTTCAGTTATCTAGTATATTTATTCATAACTACAACTGCATTATTTTCCTAAACCACAGCTTCTTTCTGAGACTTGAGATCTTATCTGATCTGCTCACTATCTCAGTAGGTAGGGGTCAGGGAGGAGCAGTTAGGGGCAGAAAGAGGCCACAGCCTTCTGTTTACTGCAGCCTCCACGTACCCCTTATGTAAACAATCTGTCCTGCCACCTCTTTCTCTTCTAACTCCTATCTTCCATCTCTTTCTTCACCTCAATGCACACACATCTCCAATCACAGTAACTGTTTTTTTTTTTTTTCACAACTTAAATTTGCAGATCTTGGTTTATAGATTTGTAGCAGAGCTACTTAACAACCTTTCTGTATTTTTATTCCCCTGGACTTACACCCCCTTCATGCTTTCTCTCTCCAGATCTTGTCCCTGGCTGTTAACTCTGATTCTTCCCAAACCAGCCCTACTCTGACTTACGCAGTTTCCTACCATCAAACTGCCAGCAATGACGCCTGGTAAGGGTGCTGACCCACAGCCAGGTGCATTCTTTCTCCCAGTCTCTCTAATTCCCAAATGGCCTGGTGACACAGTTACATTAGATTATGTTGGATTAGTTCTATCACTGCTAAATCTGCTTCCTTAACTTGTGTTCAACTACAATTTTAACTTACTATTACTTGCATTATTTTAAGTCTTCAAAAGTCCTCAGTTAATACTTGAACACAGCATCTCATGTGACACTTTTCCTCTTCTGGTCTAAGTTTCTTTTTGGTGAGCTCTTGGGGTACTAGTAAGAGAATTTCTGCAGTGCAGAGGAGGAGGGAGCATCTGGTGCCAAAGTACCACATGTATTCATGAGTGTGTGGTGTGTGTGTGTGTGTGTGTGTGTGTGAGAGAGAGAGAGAAGAAGAGAAAGAGAGAGGGAAAGAGATTGATCTTTTTACTTCTTGTAGCTT